ACTGCAGCTCAAGGGCGCCGGCCCCACGGCCTTCTCCAGGTGCGCGGGGCGCCGGCCTTGTAGCTCCTGCCGCTCTTCTGATGTGGAGTCGGAAGAGTCGGCGCGGCTCCTGTGAGGGGGAAGGAGCTGGACAGGGAGGCAGGATAGGAACCTCCGTCCGGAGCACGACTGACTGGCACAGGGTGGGCAAGTATCTCCCACATTTTAAGAGCAAGCACCACGGCCTGGCCGTGCTTTGCCCTGTAAACACGCCGGGGACTTTGGACCCTGTTCCACGGCGGCACTCGTGTTCAGTAAGGCTCCCAACCCAGGGGCCTAGGCAGTGCCGGGGAGGAAGGGCTGCTGCCCAGCCCCTTCCTCCAAATGCCACCCGGGGGATCGGGAGGACAGCAGCTCTTAAGACCAACCCTTACTCTGAAGGGCACATGGTTGACCAAGGCAGTCCCAGGTCCAGATCTGTATTCTGGGTACTCAGCAGTTTTCACTGCAAAGTTCTTATCTGTGTCCATACTCTTTAAATGCTTGTTGAGTAGCTAACTATGTGGGTAAGTTGGCATCTTAGGATTAGACATTCTAAATCCATGCCTTTCATCCCCTCGCTTCAGCCACCGACATGGTCACTGGACCCCATCTTCATATCCCAGGCCACATCCTCAGAATGGCTGGTTCTTCCTCATCCCCTGTATCCAGCCCTTTCAGCTCTGAGAGGTCACTAGACCTTTTTATTTGGAGGTAGGATCTCAGGTGCTTATTATCCCATCATTCTGGGAGGCCGAGGCAGGAAAATAACATGTTCAAGCTCAATGCAGGCAACTTAGTGACTTAGCAAGACTGTCTCAAAAAATTTAAAAGGGCTGGGGATGTAGCTCAGTGGTAGAGTGCTTACCTAGCATGCTTGAGTTCAGTCCCCAACTCAAGATGGGGAACACTGTTTTCTTTTTAAAAAGCTGTTAAGATACTTCTTTCCTTGCTGGGTGTGGTGGCACACATCTGTAATCCCAGCACTCAGGAGGCTGAGGCAGAAGTATCACTGTGAGTTTGAGACCAGCCTGGACTACATAGTTCCACGTCAGTCTCAACTACATAGTGAGTTTTTGTCTCAAAAAAAAAAAAAAACGAGAAAGGTACTTCTTTCTTTGAGGAGAGGGAAACTGCCTGATGCACACTAACCTCTATATTTTAATTCCAGACAGGCCGATGGTCGAAAAGTCCTGAGGTCAAGTATCCGTGAGTTCCTGTGCAGCGAGGCCATGTTCCATCTGGGGGTCCCCACCACCCGGGCTGGGGCCTGTGTCACATCCAAATCCACAGTGTTGCGAGACGTATTCTATGATGGTAATCCAAAATATGAAAAGTGCACAGTTGTGTTGCGTATAGCTCCCACTTTCATAAGGTAATGCTGAGCCCCTTGAGGCCTGTCTACATGTGCTTACAGAGCTGGGAGATTTAGGTCTGTGCAGTTGGGATGTCCACAGAGCATTTGCTCAGGGTGACAGTGCCAGGCTGCAGTCAGGACCCTTGTCACTTGGAAAGTCCAGACTGTCCACAGAGTAGATGCATCACCGCCAGGAAGACCTGTGGTGCAGGAGGTTCCTGTCACTGGTCCTTGGTTACAGCCAGAAGTGACAGGTAGGGCAGCTCATGCGAGACCCTGGGCAGTTTCCTAGGAGGTGCTGCCATGCAGAGGGACTAAGGAAGGTGCACAGCAGAGTTTATGACAACAGAACCACCTAGCAGTGGCCAGGAAGTGGCCTCTGCACCATCATGAGTGTGTGTCTGCCCCCCACCTGTTCTCACAGGTGGTCTAGGCTTCTCATCCACAGTCCTTTCTGCCTACTCCTGTCTCTTCCATCTGGCATTCAAGATTTTCAGAACTGACTCCCTAAACCCAGAATAGTCAGGAGGCCAGAGCTGTGGTGGGCTGTGGCTCACCTGTCCTGCCAGGCACTGGATGACCACCAGCTGTCCACACTTGAGTCAGGCTGTGTCTGCCTGTGGCTTCTGACCACGGAGGTGGTGGAAGGACCCAGAGCCAAAACCCATCTCATCCTGGGCTGCCTTTGTCTATGCAGCTCTGGTGACATTGGGTGAAGATGTCCTGTGCCTTGAATGGTGGCTGTCACTATCCTCTACCCTGTCATTGCCAGTAGCAACCCCAGTTACAACAACCAAATGTGTCCCTAGATGCCTGGCAACCCCTAAGGACAAGCTGCTCGTTGAAAACCATGCTGGTGCCAGCCAGGATCCCCACCCCAACCCCACACAGTTGAGGTGCAGGAAAAGCTCTGGAAACTTCTGAGCCCCAGCACCCCTTGAACTGTCACAGTGGTCACTGTCCAACTGGGTGTTGCCCTGCCATGGGCTGCAAGGTCTCCCACAGCTTCTTTTTCTCCTTGTTTTTGCAGGGGCTTGGTACATCTGACCTGTTCAACACCTGGGTCTTCCCTCCAGGTTTGGATCCTTTGAGATCTTTAAGCCGGCTGATGAGCACACAGGGCGTGCAGGCCCCAGCGTAGAGCGGAATGACATCCGAGTCCAGCTGCTCGATTATGTGATCAGCTCTTTCTACCCTGAAATCCAGGCTGCCCACAACTGCAACAGTGATCGTGTGCTGAGGAATGCTGCCTTCTTCCGGGAGGTGGGTGGAGGCTATGTGGCTAGCCCTTGGCCCACCTGCTTCTGGACATGGCTGATCTGGGTAATGTGCAGAGGCTCCTGCCCAGCAGCTCTGCTCTTTCTGGGCCTGTCACCATCATGACCTCACACATAGAGAGACTGAACAGTGGGAATCCTGGTCAGGGTGGTGGAGGCAGCAGCAAGAGGGTGTGCCAGTCCCCTCAGGCCTAGCAAAGCTGTCACCTTCTGGAACAAGAGCACTCTGGTGCTAGTTGGTGCTGATAGGTTTGGGGGTGACTCAGGCTGCCCTCTGGGGTTTGAGTCTTCCCCCCAAACTCTCAGGCCTGACCCTACCCTCACCCAGTCGGTGCAGTACTGTCCCATCACATCCAGCCTGTGGGAGACCTGGACCTCACCTGACCTGCCTGAGGCCAGCAGCACTCAAAAGCCTACAGACCGAGGGCTGGGGATTTAACTCAGTGGTTCCACCACCTGCCTTGCAAGCGCAAGGACCCAAGTTATATCCCTGGTACCAAAAAAATTTGCTGGGCGTGGTGGTGCACGCCTATTGTCCCAGCACTCTGAGGCAGGAGGATTGCTGTGAGTTCAGGACCAGCCTGGGCTACATAGTGAGTTCCAGGTCAGTCTCAACTACATAGTGAGACCCTGCCTCAAAACAAACAAACAAAAAACCCTAGGGGCTGGAATAATCAAGAGCTTCTCCGTGGACTATAACAGCCAAGCCAGTCAGCAGACCTGGGCACTGAGCAGGCATCTGGGGCCCCATCCTGTAGCACCTGCTCTTATGTTGAAGCTCAGCCACACACTGTAGGTGTGGCGTGGGCCAAGGGAGCCGGGAAATGAGTATGGAGCCTGCCTGGCCCACTCAAGGCAATGCATGTATGCCTGTGCACAGGGCCTGTGGCTCCTCAGACCTTGCAACCTAGGGCCTCATTCTCAAGGTGACTGGTGCCGTGTGCCACAGCAGCTGTCTGGCTGGGGCTGGGTGGGGAGCATTGTTGGTGGACAACATGCAACATGGAAATGGGACGGTTGTTTTCGGGGCACGTTGACATGGACCCAAGCAGGCTCCCATGAGGTCTCCCCCTGGGCCTGGGTCTGCATGGCCTGATTTTCTAGGGTGTACGCAGAAGCAAGGGCAAATCCCCTCACTCCTGAAATCCTACAAGGGGAGATCCCTGGGGAGAATGGCCAGGGTGTGTATGTGTGTGAGGGGTAAGGGAGCAACCAATGCCTGTCCTGCCAGGTCACAAGACGCACAGCCCGGATGGTGGCTGAGTGGCAGTGTGTGGGCTTCTGTCATGGTGTGCTGAACACTGACAACATGAGCATCGTGGGGCTCACCATCGACTATGGGCCCTTCGGCTTCCTTGACAGGCGAGTGGCCCTGGGAGCAGCATGAGTTCACGGGGGTGGTAGGGGATGTACAGAAGCCATGGGCTGGGTGAGCACAGCTGCAGCCACTCTTTCTTCAGTGTTTAGTTCTCAGCAGTGCCAGGTCAGCCACTCCTGGGGCAGAAACACCCTGGGGGTTTGAGCAATGCACTATGAGTTGTCTTAGCATTTTATTTACTTCTTCGGTGAGGGATTTTGTGGTACTGGAGATTGAACCCAGAAGCACTGTCCTACCCGTAGCCCCAGGCTTTTATTTTAAGAGTTTTACTAAATCATTGAGTTACTCAGGCTGGTCTGGAAATTGTGATCCTCCTGCCTCAGCCTCCCACATAGCTGCAATTATAGGACTGTGCACTCGGCTTGTTTTAGCATATTAGAAGAGGTTGCTTCACAGATGAGGGCCACCAAGGGCCCTTGGCCTGGAGCTGCAGGGACGGGAAGCACGATGGTGGCCACACAGGCACCACCCTTGGCGTGTCCTCTGATACTACCATGTCTGTTGCCCTGTGACAGATATGACCCTGACCATGTGTGCAATGCCTCTGACAACACCGGGCGCTACACATACAGCAAGCAGCCTGAGGTGTGCAAGTGGAACCTGCAGAAGCTGGCAGAGGCACTGGAGCCCGAACTGCCCCTTGTCCTGGGCAAGGCCATTGTGGCTGAGGAGTTCGACACCGAGTTCCAGAAGCACTACCTGCAAAAGATGCGCAGGAAGTTGGGCCTGGTGTGGGGCGAGCGGGAGGAGGACAGCACCCTGGTGGTCAAGCTCCTGGAGACCATGCACCTGACTGGTGAGCAAGGGCTCTGTTGTCGATGTGGAAACCAATTCACACTGTGAACTTTTTCTTGGCAGTATGGGGCTTTTTTTCTTTTAAGATAGGCTCTCCCTGTATAGTCTGGTCTTTAACCGTGTAGCCCAAGATGGCCTCACACTGTCCTGAGTGCTGGGATTACAGGCGTGCACCACCACGGGCACCAAGTATATACATTTTTAGGTAATTTCTAGCCTTACTCCATTGTGGCTGGAGAATATACCAGTCTCTTTTAATTTACTAAACTTACCCGTGTATTCCGGAGAAATGCACCAAGAATGTTGTGCTCTGCTCTTGCTGGCCAGGATCGCTGGTTGTTGGCTGCACTGTTGTTCAGATCTGTCCACTACTGATAGCACATTAAGGATACTGAATCTTCACTATTATGAATTTGTCCTTTGGTTCTGTGAATGTGTGCTTTGTGTTTCATGTGTGGTGTTGGTTTTTGAGACAGGGTCTTACTATGTAGCCGCCTCGAACTCACAGTGATCCACCTGCCTCAGCCTCCCGTGTGCTGGGATTACAGGTGTGCACCACCATGCCCAGCCCTTTTTTTTTTTTTTTTTTTTTTTTTTTTTCTTTTGTGGGGTATTGGAGATGGAGGTCAGGCTTTGCGTTCCCTTTTTTTTTTTTTTTTTTTTTTGTATTTTTCCATGGTAGTGGGGATTGAACCCAGGACCTACGCACTGAACTATATCCTTGTGCTTTTTCTTTTATTTGAAACCTAGTTTTGAAAAGTTGCCCTGACTGGGCTCAAACTTGAGATCCACCTGCCTCAGCTCCCTAAAGTGCTGGGATTACAGGAGAACAATCTTATGTCTACATCTTTTTTGATGAATTATCACTGTGTAACACTCCTGTCTCTACATTTCCTCCCCTATACTTGGACATGGTAGGTAGTCCCCATACTAGGCTACAACCCCAGCCCCTTTTATTTTTATTCTTGGTTGGCACTAGTATCCATTTCAACTCTCCAGATTACACTGAATGTAATGTTCACAATAAACATTCCTTCCTAGCCAGGTGTGGTGGCGCACACCTGTGATCCCAGCACTTGGGAGGCTGAGACAGGAGGATCGCTGTGAGTTTGAGACCAGCCTGGGTTACATAGTGAGTTCCAGGTCAGTCTCAACTACATAGTGAAACCCTGTCTCAAAAAACAAAACAAAAAAATTCCTTTCATTTACAAGCTGTTTAAAGCAAGTCTCCTATAGATGGTATATATAGTTGGATCACGGGTGGTTGTTTCGAGGTAGTCTTGCTATGTATTCCAGGTCAATCTTCAATTCCCTCGTAGCACAGTATAGCCCTGAACTCATGATCCTCCTGCCTCAGCCTTCTAAGTCTTGGGATAACAAGCATGTATCAGCATACCTACCTGGATTGTGGGTTTTTTTGTTTTGGGGGTTGGTGGTTTGTTGTTGTTGTTGGAGGAGACAGCTGTGTAGTTCAGGCTGACCTTGAACTCTCCTGCCCCAGCCTCCCAAGTGCTGGAGTTACAAGCATGCACCATCATGCCTGGCAAAGATCTCATTTTCTCCACTGGTTTTTGCTTAATTGATTTTTTTGGCAGCACCTACTTGGAATCCCTTCTGATTTGTCTGCTGTTCAGGTGTTTTTTTAGGGGTTACCATGACTCCATGGTCAGGTGGACAGGGTCAGGGCCAGCCTCAGCCCCTCTGAGGGTCACGGGGGGTGATGACAGGCAGGCTCAACACCCATGGAGGGAAGGGGACTGGCGCCTGCCTCGGTGCTGACCACACCATGTTCCAGGGGCTGACTTCACCAACACTTTCTGCTTGCTGAGCTCCTTCCCAGCTGAGCCAGAGGCACCAGACCTGGCTGAGTTCCTGAGTGCGTTGGCCTCACAGTGCACCTCCCTGGAGGAGCTGCAGCTGGCCTATCGGCCCCAGATGGACCCACGGTGCGTAGCAGCGTCACCTCCTCGTTTGTTTTTAGAAGGGGAGGAGCATCAGGAAGTGAAGGCCCCAGGCACATCAAGGCTGAGGTCCACAGGTGCCTTGGGTCTGGCAGCTGCCCTGTTGTGGTAGGGCAGTCCCGCTGGGCACTCATGGGCACACTGGTCAAGCAAAGGTCAGGGACACTCGTGTGGCAGAGGTAGTCTCTGCAGAACAGGGGCAGCCCATGCCTGTCCCCCACCCCCACAGGACGTGTGAGACCATGAAGAAGCCACACAATGCAGAAAGGACTTTAGTGGGGGCAGTGATGGTGCTCAGGATGTGGGTACAGATGCAGGCCACAGACAACATCCCACTCCCCTCCGCCGAAGCCCTGACTGACACTGCTACTCCCTCTGCAGCCAGCTCTCCATGATGCTGATGCTGGCCCAGTCCAACCCGCAGCTCTTTGCACTCATCGGCACCCAGGCCAACATTACCAAGGAGCTGGAGTGCATGGAGCAGCAGTCTCAGCTGCAGCGCCTGACCTTGGAGGAGCTACAGAGCCGCAACAGCACACACTGGGCTGCTTGGCTGCAAGACTACAGGTGAGCTGTTCCGGGCCCTGGGCACCAACCCCAGGGCCATGGCCACCAAGCCTGATGGGGGATCTGGGATGATTCCAGAGCCCGGCTGGACAAGGACAGAGAAGATGCCGGTGACACTGCCACCTGGCAAGCAGAGCGTACGCGTGTGATGCACGCCAGCAACCCTAAGTACGTCCTGCGGAACTACATTGCACAGAACGCCATCGAGGCTGCTGAGAACGGGGACTTCTCAGAGGCAAGCACACTTGTCCCTGCCCCTGGGAGGGAGAGGGTGGGCAGCCAACCAGCAACCCCTCACCCTGCTCTCCCTTAGGTGCAGCGGGTACTGAAGCTGCTGGAGTCTCCTTACCGCCCAGAGGGAGAGCTTGCTGAGGCTCCCACGGCCACAGGCCCTGATACGGCTGCCTCAGAAGCCAGCAGGCAGCCGTCCTACAGCAGCAAACCTCCACTCTGGGCAGCTGAGCTCTGCGTGACATGATCCTCATAGCAGCCTGGGGGATCCTCCACACCCCGGGAGTTTCCTGAGGCCACTCGCACTGCTCAGACTATGGCCAGCCCTGCACTCTTCATGACGGCAGACACATCTAGTCAGGACCTGACCTGTTTCTGTCCGATGCTAGGTCAGCAGTGCTACCCTGGTCCAGTGGCCACAAGGACAAGGGCCCCACCAAGTGCTTGTGGGTGAGGGTAGCAGGCCTCTGAATAAATCAGCATCTTCAGCCCGTCCCTGGTCAACTCTGTGCCCTAACCCTGAAGACGCTCACGCATCCTGGTAGTAGCTGTTGAAATTGATGCGCAGCAGGAAGTCTTCAAGGTGGGGTTGGTAGCCGCGGTTCACCAGCTTGGTCACCACTGGAGGGCAAAGGAATTCTCAGCATGTGGCCCAGGCCTGGCCACGCCCCTGCCCACCTCAGGGGAGGCTCACCTTTGAAGAGGAAGTGGGAATAGTACTTGAAGGTGCTATAGGACTGCTGCATGAGGGCAAAGTTGGGGTGCTCTGTGCCCTGGGGGCCACTGGCTGGGCCCCAGGCCTGGGAGATGAGCTGGCTGCGAAACTTGAGCACCAGGCTGAAGATGCTGTGGATGATGTTCATGACAGGTGCCGCCTTCTCCGTCAGCAGGCCCCTAAGGTGGGCATGGGCAGAGTGAGCTGCCCCAGCCCCAGAGCCAGTGAGCCCAACACCCTCCGTGACTGCACCCCACCTGAAGACAGCCTTGTGCAGGTACTCAGCGTGGGCACGCTGGATCTCCTCCAGGTCCCTTACTGTGGCCAGCCGGGCCCTGAACTCGCACCAGCTGACATGCAGGATCTGGTTGGCAATGTAGCCCTGGGTCACCTTCACGAAGTGCTGCATCTCGTGCTTGAACAGCTGCAGCTGGCGGAACTGCACCGAGCCAGCCGCATGGCTCACCAGGGCTGGGCAGAGGGCAGGGGGCCCAGTGAGGGACAGCCAGGGTCCACAGGGGCCGGTGGGTGGGTAGGCTTCACGTGACCTCACCTGTGCGCTTGAGGTGGAAGCAAATGTCCTTGAGCGTCCACATCATGAGCTTCAGCTGCAGCAGGAAGGAGAAGATGGCGCCATACTTGCTGAGGCAGCTCTCGGTGATGATGATGTTGAGCGGCCAGTCCACCTGCTTGGGAAGCCCCATCAGTGCCTGCCCACACTCAGGCCTCCTCCAGCCCTGGGTGGCGCTGCTGACCTTGTACCTGAGCTCCAGGCAGCTCAGCACGTCCGGCGTGTTGGGGGCGAAAACTTCAGGCAGGTGCTTGAGTGCAAAGGAGAGGCCGGCAGCATGTGGCGAGTCCCCATGCAGGCTGCACTGCAGCGCCTTGCTCAGGACGCAGTTGAGGGCCAGTGGGCTCAGTAATTCCCCAGGCGTCTGTCCGGCCCCAAGCTGGGCAGGGGAGGAACACATGTCCCAGGATCAACCCTGTGCCCCAGCTCTGCCAGGTGGGCCTTGGGCCTTGGGCCTCAGGCCAGGGGACAGTCCCCATCCCGTGGTCCCCACCCTGCCAGGCTCACTTTCTCAAAGAGCAGGTCGCTAAGGGACTGTGCGAACTCCCCATCCTCCATCAGCAGGAAGTGCCGCAGCGCCTCAAAATGTGACTCCAGGTGCAGCTCCACAAAGAAGTAGTCAACGGCAGCCTTATTTACCAAGGAGACACTGGCAGGAGGGGCAGAGTCAGGGGGGCAGGGGGCA